ACACTGTGATACACACACTGATACACACACTGTGATACACACTGTGATACACACACACTGTGATGCACACTGTGATACACACACTGTGATACACACACACACACTGTGATACACACACTATGATACACACACACACTGTGATACACACTGTGATACACACACTGTGATACACACACTGTGATACACACACACACACTGTGATACACACACACTGTGATACACACACACTGTGATACACACACACACACTGTGATACACACACTGTGATACACACTGTGATACACACACTGATACACACACTGTGATACACACACACACACACACACTGTGATACACACACACTGTGATACACACACTGTGATACACACACTGTGATACACACACACTGTGATACACACTGTGATACACACACTGTGATACACACTGTGATACACACACTGTGATACACACACTGTGATACACACACTGTGATACACACACACACACTGTGATACACACACACTGTGATACACACTGTGATATACACACACACTGTGATACACACACACACACTGTGATACACACTGTGATACACACACACTGTGATACACACACTGTGATACACACACACTGTGATACACACACTGTGATACACACACACACACACTGTGATACACACACTGTGATACACACACTGTGATACACACACTGTGATACACACACTGTGATACACACACACTGTGATACACACTGTGATATACACACACACTGTGATACACACTGTGATACACACACTGTGATACACACACTGTGATACACACACACACTGTGATACACACACACTGTGATACACACACACTGTGATACACACACACTGTGATACACACACACTGTGATACACACACACTGTGATACACACTGTGATACACACTGTGATACACACACTGTGATACACACACTGTGATACACACACACACTGTGATACACACACTGTGATATACACACTGTGATACACACACTGTGATACACACACACTGTGATACACACACACACACACTGTGATACACACACACACTGTGATACACACACACTGTGATACACACACACACACACTGTGATACACACACACACTGTGATACACACACACACTGTGATACACACACACTGTGATACACACACACTGTGATACACACTGTGATACACACACTGTGATACACACTGTGATACACACACTGTGATACACACACTGTGATACACACACACTGTGATACACACTGTGATACACACACTGTGATACACACACTGTGATACACACACACTGTGATACACACACTGTGATACACACACACACACTGTGATACACACACTGTGATACACACACTGTGATACAACAACAACCGCCATTCGCCACTAAGTGGCGGTGACGTCACCACGACGCTTGTGCCAGGCTATGTGCACCGTGAGGCCACGTGAAGTGTCGAACGCCCGCTGGCAGGAGGTCACTGGGCAGACCCAGGTGCCACGGGTCGACTGACTGAGATGACTGGCTGATGCACCACCTGTGCCCCCTACTGTGCCAACCTGCTGTGCTTTAGCCACCCGGCGCTCCGCTCGTTGTTCTGAGCGTCGCTCCTCCGCCCTCCGTTGTTGTTGGAGGGCGACTGCCTCCAACTGCCCAGTAGCATCCTTCACGAGCCTCCTCCACAGAGGCCGATCTTGACACCGCTGGTACCAGTCATCGGCAAGTCCACTCAGCTCCACGTCCTCCTGTACCACATCACTCCATCTCTTCTCTAGCCCGTGCCGCGCCCGCTTTGCCCCCTCAATCCGGCCGAACAAAAGCTGTTTCGGCATGCGGTGGCTGGGCATGCGGGCTACATGACCCAGCCATCGCAGCCTTGCCCGCCGGAGGAGCTCACCGATGGGACCTTGCCCAGATCTTTCAAGGATTTGTGAGCTCCTCACACAATCCAGTCTGGTTAAACCCAGGATGGATCGTAGGCAGGCCAGCCTAAATGTTTCTAACCGGCGAAGATGTTCCATTAGGGGGGTCCACGTTTCGCAAGCGTAGAGAAGGGAGGGAATGACCGTGGCCGAGAAGACCTGAAGCTTAGTGCGGAGCGACAGACCAGGTAGCTTCCACACAGCGTTACACAACCGATGAAAAGATATTGCCGCTCGACTGATTCGGAGTGAGACCTCTGCTGTTAAACTGGAGCCAGTCATAAGCACACTGCCCAGGTATGGGAAACTCTCCACTCTCTCCACAACTGCCCCATCACCGATTGGGAGTTGTGGGGGTGGAGTGTCCGATGGTACAAAATACCCAGGCAGGTGCTTAGTTTTGGTGGGGCTGATGGTAAGGCCCCACCTCTTAGTGGCACGCTCCAGTCTCAGCAGCAGCGTCTCCAACTCCTCCACTGACTGAGCAGCTATTACCAAATTATCAGCATACATAACGTGGTTGAGCAATAGGGAGCCATCCCTTGACCGCACCCGGGCATCGATTAGCCTCCCATTATATCTGTACCATATGGAGATTCCCCCGGTACAGCTATTGAAGGCTTCACGAACTGCGTGGTCAAAATAGATGTTAAATAATGTGGGAGCCAGAGGACATCCCTGTCGCACCCCAAGGTGTACAGGGAATGGCTCTGACTCCCGGCCACGTAGTTTTACCCGGGCCCGCTCACCATCATGAAGGTCCTTAATGATCGTGAGCAGAGGGTCAGGTACTCCAAAAGCACGAAGAACGACCCAGAGCCCAGGCCTACTGATGGTATCATAGGCCTTGACCAGGTCAATAAAGCAGAGATGTAGGTCTTGTTGGAATTCCCTACACCTCTGCTGTAGCAGACGGACAGAAAATATGGCATCTGTGCAGGACCGCCCTATCCTGAAACCGCATTGGGGCTCCACAAGCCTCTCCTCAGCATGCCTGGCAAGGCGATGCTGAATAATCCTTCCCAGGACCTTTCCCGGCACACTGAGGAGTGAGATGCCCCTGTAGTTGTTACAGTCTGTGCGGTCCCCCGTCCAGTGGTCCAGACTGTTGTTATGATGTCATATAGGGCAGTCTGTGCACAAACGCCACCCTCCCTCAGCATTTCGCTTGGGAGATCATCTCTTCCCGCTGCCTTTCCTGGTCTCAGACTCCGGATCGCCTTCAGTACTTCCTCAACAGATGGTACTTCAGCCAGCCATTCACAGGGGGTGACTTCTTCCAATATTTGAGGCACCGCAGCTTCAGCAGGGTCATCCTCACTTTGTGTCACGATGTTTTCCTGGCTGAGTGATTTCCCTCCCCCAGGACATCACAGAAATGCTCAGCAAATCTGCAAACCTGTTTCTGGGGGTCGGAGATTGGATCACCGTTTTTTCCCCTAATGATAGTAATAGGTGTGGCGCTGCATGTTACTTTTTTGATGGAGTTAAATAGAGATTTGTGATCACGTGCCACTGAGGCAGACTCCATCTCCTCAGCAACCCGCGACCACCACCCATCCTTGCAGCGCCTCACGGCTCTCAGAACCTCCGAGCGAAGGCTGCGGTAAGCCTCCTCATTCTCTGACGTGGGATTCTGTAGCTGATGACAGTGGGCCCGTCGCTTTTTCTCAACTATCCTGAACACCTCCTCTGTCAGCCAGGGTCTCTGGGGAGGTCTGGACCGCGTACCCAAAGCAGCCATTGCAGCTGCATTAATCACAGTCCTAAACCTCGCCCATTTATCCTCGACATCAGGAGGAGTGGGGGACGATGCCAACCCAAGCCGCAAGCGATGATGAAATTCTCGCTTGCAGCTTTCATCAGCTAACTGAGACCAGGCCACTTTAGTTTGAAATGGGGTCCTGGGTGTACACCCACCACCGGAGTGGAAGAATGGCAGGCGCATCTTACAGATGACTAGTCGATGGTCAGAGGGCAGATCAGCTCCACGGTAGGTCCTGGTGTCAAGGACATGGGCTCGCATCCGCTGGTCCGTCACTATGTAGTCCAGCAGATGTTCTTGCTTGGACCCGGCATGCATCCATGATGTTGTGTGGATGCGCCGATGCCGGAACAGCGTGATGGTAATTACAAGCCCATGGGCTGCACAAAAATCTACCAGCCTCCTACCGTTGTTATTGAGCTGATCTGGCCCATGCCCTCCAATCACTCCAGACCAGGTGCCAGCATCATGACCAACTCGGGCATTGAAGTCACCCAACAAGATGACTCTATCCCGAGGGGCCACTTTAGCCAGCACCTGAGACAGGAGGTCATAGAAGGCATCTGACTCATCGGCTTTGCCTGCATCCCTCCACGGATGTTCGTCTTCGGTGGGGGCATAAGTAACCACGACCACCACTCCTCGCCTCCGGTTGATGGGAAGGCGAGCCCAAAGTAGCCTGGGGCTTGCAGCTTCCCACACCTCACCGCCACGCTCCCACGCCCCCTTCATTCTTTTGTTCAAAAGAAGAGCCACACCCTGTTGTTTGGCAGTCTGCTGCCCCGAGTAGAGGACTGTCCACCCCTCATGGTGGCAGGAGCCAGAACCGGTCCACCGGACCTCCTGAATGCCACAGAGATCCAGGCGGTACCGGTCCAGCACCCGACAGAGGAGTGGCAGCCTCTCCTCCGCGGTGAGCGTGCGACCATTCCACGTGGCCACACGAAGTGGCTGTGATACACACACACACACAGTGATACACACACACTGTGATACACACGGACAGTCATTTTGTTGTGGTGTTTGTGGTGGCTGTTGTTGTTTAGTGGGAGTTGGTGTACTTTTGCCATTTGTACTCTTTTCATTGAAACTATTTGTTTACGTATTTACTGTTTTGTGTTCTTTTTTAACCTTTCCTCTACTTGGCACTCCGTAGTTTTTGAGAATTGTCCTCTCGTCTTAGTAACTTTCTGAGCCCGTGCCCCTGCTGAACATCTGTGACAAAGAGCTTTGTAGCTCATCGGATTTCTCCAGGATACATCAAGATTCTGATTCTGGTTATTGGTGGTGGTGGTGGTGGTTGTTGTTGAAGGTTCATACCCAGCGGTTGCCAGCCCCGTGTCTTATCCGGCCTGCCAGCCTTCAGTGTGAGTGGTGCACACGCTCACACACACACTCACACACGCTCACACACACACACATACACTCACACACACTCACACACACATACACTCACACACTCACACACACTCACACACACACTCACACATACTCACACACACTCACACACACTCACACACACTCACACACACTCACACATACACTCACACACACTCACACACACACGCTCACACACACACTCACACACGCTCACACATACACACATACACTCACACACACTCACACACACACACACTCACACATACACTCACACACTCACACACACTCACACACACTCACACACACACTCACACACACACTCACACATACACTCACACACACTCACACACGCTCACACACACACTCACACACTCACACACACTCACACATACTCGCACATACTTACACATATGCACACACACTCACACACACTCACACACACTCACACACACTCACACACACACACTCACACATACTCACACATACTCACACGCACACACATATACACACACGTACACCTTCACACACTCACACATACACAACAACAACAACAACCGCCATTCGCCACTAAGTGGCGGTGACGTCACCACGACGCTTGTGCCAGGCTATGTGCACCCTGAGGCCACGTGAAGTGTCGAACGCCCGCTGGCAGGAGGTCACGGGGCAGACCCAGGTGCCACGGGTCGACTGACTGAGACGACTGGCTGATGCACCACCTGTGCCCCCTACTGTGGCAACCTGCTGTGCTTCAGCACACATGCACACTCACACACCACGTACACGCACTGGTGTTGGCCGTGAGCGGGAATCGACCTCGTGTCGCCGGGTTCACAGCGCAGCGTAGCGCTAACCACGACACCACCGCTCCCCACTCATACACAACATACACTCACACACTCGCACGTACATACACACGCACACACGTGTACGGTAATCTCGTGCTGCGCTATAAACCCAGCGACCCGAGTTGAATTCCCGTTCAAGGCCACCACGAGTGACGACTATCTGAACCGCTCCTGGGCCTCCCCGAGGTCGACTCAGCCTCAAATGAGAACCTGGTACAGCGGTGTGTGGTAAACATCGCCACTGGGGAGACAAAGGCGGCCGGGCGTAGTGCTTGCCACTCACCCCCTTCTGTACTGTTCCGGCCTTCATAGGTGCTGCTACTACCTCCCACCCACCCACCCACTCACTCACCCACTCACTCACTCATCCACTCACTCACTCACTCACCCACTCACTCACCCACCCACTCACCCACTTACCTACCCACTCACTCACCCACCCACCCAATCACCCACTCACTCACCCACCCACCCACTCACCCACCCATTCACTCACCCACTCACCCACCCACCCACTCACCCATTCACTCATCCACTCACTCACCCACCCACTCACCCACCCACTCACCCACCCACCTACCCACCCACTCACCCACCCACCCACTCACCCACCCATTCACTCACCCACTCACTCACCCACCCACTCACCCACCCACTCACCCACCCAGCCACTCACCCACCCACTCACCCACCCACTCACCCACCCAGCCACCCACCAACCCACTCTCACCCACCCACTCACCCACCCAGCCACCCACGCACCGATCCACTCACACACTTCCTCGTGTGCCACAGTGCCGGCCTTCACAGGCGCTGCTACTCGCTACGAACAGTACCTGCCTGCTAGAGGCTACCTGGGGGACCTCTGTCTTTGTGTGTGTGCGTGTGTGCGCGCCAATGTGTGCAGTGCTAGCCCTACCGTCACGGCCGTCTACATGAACCAGCCTCCACAGCTCCCTCCTCCTCGCTCTGCCTCTCCCCAGGTCGCTCCGGCTGACTGTGAGTCGGGCGCACGTACACACAGACACACACACCTACACACACCTACACACACACACACAACAACAACAACAACAACATTCACCACTAAGGGGCGGTGACGTCACCACGACGCTTGTGCCAGGCCATGTGCACCTTGAGGCCACGTGAAGTGTCGAACGCCCGCTGGCAGGAGGTCACGGGGCAGACCCAGGTGCCACGGGTCGACTGACTGAGATGACTGGCTGATGCACCACCTGTGCCCCCTACTGTGCCAACCCGCTGTGCTTTAGCCACCCGGCGCTCCGCTCGTTGTTGTGAGCGTCGCTCCTCCGCCCTCCGTTGTTGTTGGAGGGCGACTGCCTCCCAACTGCCCAGTAGCGTCCTTCACGAGCCTCCACACACTCACACACTCACTCATTCCCCCTCTCCTCTTCTCTCCCCTTCTCTCCCTCCCTCCCTCCCTCCCTCTCCCCCTTCCTGCGTACCCTAGCGATGTCGCTGCTGTCGCGCTCCGGCACCGTCACCCAGGAGCACCTCCACGCCTCCCTGGTGTCGGCCATCGTGGACCAGCTGCGCAGGCGAGAGCAGGAGGCGCAGGGCAGGGCCCAGGCCGAGCTGGCGGCCCTCAGGCGGACGCAGAGCGAGCTGAGCAGCGGCCGCGACAGGCTGGGATTCCTGCTGAACACACTCGCACACGAGATGGTGCCCTGCTGAACACACTCGCACACGAGATGGTGCCCTGCTGAACACACTCGCACACGAGATGGTGCCCTGCTGAACACACTCGCACACGAGATGGTGCCCTGCTGAACACACTCGCACACGAGATGGTGCCCTGCTGAACACACTCGCACACGAGATGGTGCCCTGCTGAACACACTCGCACACGAGATGGTGCCCTGCTGAACACACTCGCACACGAGATGGTGCCCTGCTGAACACACTCGCACACGAGATGGTGCCCTGCTGAACACACTCGCACACGAGATGGTGCCCTGCTGAACACACTCGCACACGAGATGGTGCCCTGCTGAACACACTCGCACACGAGATGGTGCCCTGCTGAACACACTCGCACACGAGATGGTGCCCTGCTGAACACACTCGCACACGAGATGGTGCCCTGCTGAACACACTCGCACACGAGATGGTGCCCTGCTGAACACACTCGCACACGAGATGGTGCCCTGCTGAACACACTCGCACACGAGATGGTGCCCTGCTGAACACACTCGCACACGAGATGGTGCCCTGCTGAACACACTCGCACACGAGATGGTGCCCTGCTGAACACACTCGCACACGAGATGGTGCCCTGCTGAACACACTCGCACACGAGATGGTGCCCTGCTGAACACACTCGCACACGAGATGGTGCCCTGCTGAACACACTCGCACACGAGATGGTGCCCTGCACTCTACACCACCATGCACTCTACACTACCATGCACTACGCCACCATGCACTACCATACATTATACACTACCATGCACTACGCCACCATGCACTACCATACATTATACACTACCATACACTGTACACTACTATACGCTACCATGCACTGTACACTACCATACACTCTACACTACCATTCATTATACACTACCATACATTATACACTACCATTCATTATACACTACCATTCATTATACACTACCATACATTATACACTACCATTCATTATACACTACCATACATTATACACTACCATACACTGTACACTACTATACACTACCATGCACTATACACTACCATACACTCTACACTACCATTCATTATACACTACCATGCACTACGCTACCATACACTACCATACATTATACACTACCATACACTGTACACTACTATACACTACCATACATTATACACTACCATACACTGTACACTACTATACACTACCATGCACTATACACTACCATACACTCTACACTACTATACACTACCATACATTATACACTACCATGCACTACACTACCATGCACTCTACACTACCATACATTATACACTACCATACACTACGCTACCATACATTGTACACTACCATACATTATACACTACCATGCACTACGCTACCATACACTACCATACATTATACACTACCATACACTGTACACTACTATACGCTACCATGCACTATACACTACCATACACTCTACACTACCATTCATTATACACTACCATACATAATACACTACCATTCATTATACACTACCATACATTATACACCACCATGCATTATACACTACCATACATTATACACTACTATACATTATACACTACCATTCATTATACACTACCATACATTATACACCACCATGCATTATGCACTACCATACATTATACACTACTATACATTGTACACTACCATACATTGTACACTACCATGCACTACCATACACTGTACAGTACCATGCACTATATACTACCATGCACTACACTACCATACACTGTACACTACCATGCACTACGCTACACTACTATACACTACCATGCATTGTACACTACCATACATTATACACTACCATACACTGTACACTACTATACACTACCATACATTATACACTACCATACACTGTACACTACTATACACTACCATACATTATACACTACCATGCACTACACTACCATGCACTCTACACTACCATACATTATACACTACCATACACTACGCTACCATACATTGTACACTACCATACATTATACACTACCATGCACTACGCTACCATACATTGTACACTACCATACACTGTACACTACTATACACTACGCTACCATACATTGTACACTACCATACACTATACACTACTATACACTACACTACCATACATTGTACACTACCATACACTATACACTACTATACACTACGCTACCATACATTGTACACTACCATACACTATACACTACTATTTCACTACGCTACCATACATTATACACTACCATGCACTCTACACCACCATGCACTGTACACTACTATGCACTGTACACCACTATGCACTGTACACCACTATGCACTGTACACTACTATGCACTGTACACCACCATGCACTGTACACTACCATGCACTCTACACTACCATACACTACCATGCACTGTACACTACTATACACTACGCTACCATACACTGTACACTACCATGCACTGTACACTACCATACATTATACACTACCATACATTATACACTACCATGCACTACGCTACCATACATTGTACACTACCATACACTATACACTACTATACACTACACTACCATACATTATACACTACCATACACTATACACTACTATACACTACACTACCATACATTGTACACTACCATACACTATACACTACTATACACTACACTACCATACATTGTACACTACCATACATTATACACTACCATGCACTCTACACTACCATGCACTGTACACTACTATGCACTGTACACTACTATGCACTGTACACTACTATGCACTGTACACCACTATGCACTGTACACTACCATACATTGTACACTACCATACATTATACACTACTATACACTACCATACATTATACACTACCATACATTATACACTACCATACACTGTACAGTACCATACACTGTACACTTCCATACACTACGCTACCATACACTATACACTATCATGCACTGTACACTACTATACACTGTACATCACCATGCACTGTACACTACTATACACTACCATACATTATACACTACCATACATTATACACAACCATACACTGTACACCACCATGCACTGTACACTACCATACACTGTACACTACGATACACTACACTACCATACATTATACACTACCATACACTGTACACTACTATACAATGTACACTAATATACACTGTACATACACGACCATACATTATACACTACACTACTATACAATGTACACTAATATACACTGTACATTACGATACACTGCACTACTATACACTGTACACAACACTACTATACACTACGCTGTACACCTTACACTACTCGCTACACCACACTACACTGTACGCTACCCGCGGCACTATGCTACACTATACACTACACGGTACCTGCTACACCACGCTACACTGTACACTACCCATCACCCACTACACTGTACACTATATGCTACCCGCTACACTGTACACTACCCACCACACTACACTGTACACTACCTGCTACCCACCACACTACACTGTACACTACACACTACCCACCACACTACACTGTACACTACCCGCTACAATACACTGTACACTACACGTTACCCACTACACTCCACGCTACACTACACATTACCCACTACACTACACTGTACACTACCCACTACACGCTACACTACACGCTACACTACCCACTACTCACGACACTACACGCTACACTACCCACTACACTACACTATCCACTACCCACTACACTACACGCTACACTACCCACTACACTACATGCTACACTACCCACTACACTACACGCTACACTACCCACTACACTACACGCTACACTACCCACTACCCACTACACTACACGCTACACTACCCACTACATTACACGCTACACTACCCACTACACTACACTACCCACTACACTACACGCTACACTACCCACTACACTACCCACTACACTACAAGCTACACTACCCACTACACTACAGGCTACACTACCCACTACACTACACTACCCACTACACTACCCACTACACTACACTACATGCTACACTACCCACTACACTACACGCTACACTACCCACTACACTACACTACACGCTACACTACCCACTACATTACACGCTACACTACCCACTACACTACACTACCCACTACACTACCCACTACACTACACGCTACACTACCCACTACACTATACGCTACACTACCCACTACACTACCACTACACTACCCACTACACTACACTACACGCTACACTACCCACTACACTACACGCTACACTACCCACTACACTACACGCTACACTACCCACTACACTACACTACACGCTACACTACCCACTACACTACACGCTACACTACCCACTACCCACTACACTACACACTACACTACCCACTACCCACTACACTACACGCTACACTACCCACTACACTGCACGCTACACTACCCACTACCCACTACACTACACGCTACACTACTCACTACACTACACTCTACACTACCCACTACACTACACTACATGCTACACTACACTACCCACTACACTACCCACTACCCACTACACTACATGCTACACTACACTACACTACCCACTACACTATACGCTACACTACCCACTACACTACACTACCCACTACACTACACGCTACACTACCCACTACACTACCCACTACACTACCCGCTACACTACACTACCCACTACACTACCCACTACGCTACACTACCCACTACACTACCCACTACACTACCCACTACACTACACTACCCACTACACTACCCACTACGCTACACTACCCACTACCCACTACACTACCCACTACACTACCCACTACACTACCCGCTACACTACCCGCTACACTCCACGCTACACTACACGCTACACTACCCACTACACTACCCACTACACTACCCACTACACTACATTACCCACTACCCACTACACTACCCACTACGCTACACTACCCGCTACACTACCCACTACACTACCCACTACGCTACACTACCCACTACACTACACGCTACACTACCCACTACACTGTACACTACACTACCCACTACACTACCCACTACACTACCCACTACACTACCCACGACACTACCCACTACCCACTACACAACTCGCTACACTACCCGCTACACTACCCGCTACACTACCCACTACCCACTACACTACCCACTACACTACCCACGACACTACCCACTACCCACTACACTACCCGCTACACTACCCACGACACTACCCACTACCCACTGCACAACCCACTACACTACCCACTACACTACCCACTACACTATACACTACACTACCCACTACACTACCCACTACACTATACACTACACTACCCGCTACACTACCCACGACACTACCCACTACCCACTGCACAACCCACTACACTACCCACTACACTACCCACTACACTATACACTACACTACCCACTGCACAACCCACTACACTACCCGCTACACTACCCGCTACACTACCAGCTACACTACCCGCTACACTACCCGCCACGCTGAACACAGCGTCTCCCCCCCCCGCCCGCCCCCAGGCACAGGTTGACCACTGGCTGGAGGCCGTGAGGGCCGGGGGGGAGGTGGCCCACGGGCGGCCCGCCCCGGGCCCCGCGGAGCGGCGGGGGGACGATGGCGGCGAGGTGGACGCGGGGGTCCGCACCCCGACGCCGCTCCACGGGCAGATCGTGGAGCTCCACGCGCAGGACGGAGCCATCGAGGACACGGCCTTCCAGCTGGGGGAGGCCATGAGGTGCAACGTCGTGGAGCTGGACGCCTTCCTCAAGGTGGGGCGGTAGGGGTGAAGTGAGGCATTGTGGGAAGACCCCCCCACTCCCCCACTCCCCATGTCTCCCTGTCTCATAGTCCCCGGGGGTCCCCCCTCGTACCCCCCCCACTTGTGACGTCTGCGAAAGAGCTTCATAGCTCATCGGATTCCTCCAGTCTAAATATAGATTCTGTGTCTCCCCCCTGTGCCGCCCCCCATGTCTCTGTGCCCCCCCCATGTCTCTGTGCCCCCCCGTGCCCCCCCCATGTCTCTGTGCCCCCCCCCCATGTCTCTGTGCCCCCCCCGTGCCCCCCCCATGTCTCTGTGCCCCCCCCCCCCCATGTCTCTGTGCCCCCCCGTGCCCCCCCCCCCCATGTCTCTGTGCCCCCCGTGCCCCCCCCCAGCACGTGCGTCTTCTGGCCAGGAGGCAGTTCCTCGTCAGGGCCTTGATGCTGAAGGCGCGCAGAGCCGCAGGCCTCACGGAGGTCTGCTAGCTCCGCCGCACGGCATTCTGGGCCAGCCGTCACCCCGATGCATCGTCATTACCGCCGTCGCCTCCGTCGCCACCGCACGGCATGCTGGGTATTGCAAAGCGCGGCAGAGGATTTTGGGAGAGCAGAGCATTGTGGATAAATGCCAGCAAGGCATTGTGGGAATTTTATTGTGCAACCGCAAGGGATTGTGGGACTTTTTTTTTACCCCGACGATATTTTATGGCCGTCGCCTCGTTGGTCCAGCAGTGAATGGACCACGGTGACGGAGATTACGGTTTATTGTATTGGTCTAAGAGTGGTGAATTAGTACGGTTTAGTAGTCTATAGTGGTGAATTAGTACGGTTTAGTAGTCTATAATGGTTAATTAGCGTGGTTTAGTAGTCTATAGTGGTGAATTAGTACGGTTTAGTAGTCTATAGTGGTGAATTAGTACGGTTTAGTAGTCTATAGTGGTGAATTAGTACGGTTTAGTAGTCTATAATGGTTAATTATCGTGGTTTAATAGTCTATAGTGGTTAATTAGTACGGTTTAGTAGTCTAGTGGTTAATTAGTGTAGTGTAGTAGTCTATAGTGGTTAATTAGCGTGGTTTAGTAGTCTATAGTGGTTAATTAGCGTGGTTTAGTAGTCTATAGTGGTTAATTAGTGTGGTGTAGTAGTCTATAGTGGTTAATTAGTGTAGTTTAGTAGTCTATAGTGGTTAATTAGTGTTGTATAGTAGTCTATAGTGGTTAATTAGTGTGGTTTAGTAGTGTATAGTGGTTAATTAGTGTGGTGTAGTAGTCTATAGTAGTTAATTAGTGTGGTTTAGTAGTCTATAGTGGTTAATTAGTGTAGTTTAGTAGTCTAGAGTGGTTAATTAGTGTGGTGTAGTAGTCTATAGTGGTTAATTAGTGTGGTGTAGTAGTCTATAGTGGTTAATTAGTGTGGTTTAGTAGTCTATAGTGGTTAATTAGTGTGGTGTAGTAGTCTATAGTGGTTAATTAGTGTGGTTTAGTAGTCTATAGTGGTTAATTAGTGTGGTGTAGTAGTCTATAGTGGTTAATTAGTGTAGTTTAGTAGTCTATAGTGGTTAATTAGTGTGGTGTAGTAGTCTATAGTAGTTAATTAGTGTGGTGTAGTAGTCTATAGTGGTTAATTAGTGTAGTTTAGTAGTCTATAGTGGTTAATTAGTGTGGTTTAGTAGTCTATAGTGGTTAATTAGTGTGGTGTAGTAGTCTATAGTGGTTAATTAGTGTGGTGTAGTAGTCTATAGTGGTTAATTAGTGTGGTGTAGTAGTCTATAGTGGTTAATTAGTGTGGTATAGTAGTCTATAGTGGTTAATTAGTGTAGTTTAGTAGTCTATAGTGGTTAATTAGTGTGGTGTAGTAGTCTATAGTGGTTAATTAGTGTGGTGTAGTAGTCTATAGTGGTTAATTAGTGTGGTGTAGTAGTCTATAGTGGTTAATTAGTGTGTTTTAGTAGTCTATAGTGGTTAATTAGTGTAGTTTAGTAGTCTATAGTGGTTAATTAGTGTGGTGTAGTAGTCTATAGTGGTTAATTAGTGTGGTGTAGTAGTCTATAGTGGTTAATTAGTGTTGTATAGTAGTCTATAGTGGTTAATTAGTGTGGTTTAGTAGTGTATAGTGGTTAATTAGTGTGGTGTAGTAGTCTATAGTAGTTAATTAGTGTGGTTTAGTAGTCTATAGTGGTTAATTAGTGTAGTTTAGTAGTCTAGAGTGGTTAATTAGTGTGGTGTAGTAGTCTATAGTGGTTAATTAGTGTGGTGTAGTAGTCTATAGTGGTTAATTAGTGTGGTTTAGTAGTCTATAGTGGTTAATTAGTGTGGTGTAGTAGTCTATAGTGGTTAATTAGTGTGGTTTAGTAGTCTATAGTGGTTAATTAGTGTGGTGTAGTAGTCTATAGTGGTTAATTAGTGTAGTTTAGTAGTCTATAGTGGTTAATTAGTGTGGTGTAGTAGTCTATAGTAGTTAATTAGTGTGGTTTAGTAGTCTATAGTGGTTAATTAGTGTGGTGTAGTAGTCTATAGTGGTTAATTAGTGTGGTGTAGTAGTCTATAGTGGTTAATTAGTGTGGTGTAGTAGTCTATAGTGGTTAATTAGTGTGGTATAGTAGTCTATAGTGGTTAATTAGTGTAGTTTAGTAGTCTATAGTGGTTAATTAGTGTGGTGTAGTAGTCTATAGTGGTTAATTAGTGTGGTGTAGTAGTCTATAGTGGTTAATTAGTGTGGTGTAGTAGTCTATAGTGGTTAATTAGTGTGTTTTAGTAGTCTATAGTGGTTAATTAGTGTAGTTTAGTAGTCTATAGTGGTTAATTAGTGTGGTGTAGTAGTCTATAGTGGTTAATTAGTGTGGTGTAGTAGTCTATAGTGGTTAATTAGTGTGGTGTAGTAGTCTATAGTGGTTAATTAGTGTGGTGTAGTCTATAGTGGTTAATTAGCGTGGTTTATTGGTCTATAGTGGTTAATAAGTGTGGTGTAGTAGTCTATAGTGGTTAATTAGTGTGGTTTATTGGTCTAGAGTGGTTAATTAGTGTGGTGTAGTAGTCTATAGTGGTTAATTAGTGTGGTGTAGTAGTCTATAGTGGTTAATTAGTACGGTTTAGTAGTCTATAGTGGTGAATTAGTACGGTTTAGTAGTCTATAATGGTTAATTAGCGTGGTTTAGTAGTCTATAGTGGTTAATTAGTGTAGTTTAGTAGTCTATAGTGGTTAATTAGTGTGGTGTAGTAGTCTATAGTGGTTAATTAGTGTGGTTTAGTAGTCTATAGTGGTTAATTAGCGTGGTGTAGTCTATAGTGGTTAATTAGTGTAGTTTAGTAGTCTATAGTGGTTAATTAGTGTGGTGTAGTAGTCTATAGTGGTTAATTAGCGTGGTGTAGTCTATAGTGGTTAATTAGTGTAGTTTAGTAGACTATAGTGGTTAATTAGTGTGGTTTAGTAGTCTATAGTGGTTAATTAGTGTGGTGTAGTAGTCTATAGTAGTTAATTAGTGTAGTTTAGTAGTCTATAGTGGTTAATTAGTGTGGTGTAGTAGTTTATAGTGGTTAATTAGCGTGGTTTAGTAGTCTATAGTGGTTAATTAGTGTGGTTTAGTAGTCTATAGTGGTTAATTAGCGTGGTGTAGTCTATAGTGGTTAATTAGTGTAGTTTAGTAGTCTATAGTGGTTAATTAGTGTGGTGTAGTAGTCTATAGTGGTTAATTAGCGTGGTGTAGTCTATAGTGGTTAATTAGTGTAGTTTAGTAGACTATAGTGGTTAATTAGTGTGGTTTAGTAGTCTATAGTGGTTAATTAGTGTGGTGTAGTAGTCTATAGTAGTTAATTAGTGTAGTTTAGTAGTCTATAGTGGTTAATTAGTGTGGTGTAGTAGTTTATAGTGGTTAATTAGCGTGGTTTAGTAGTCTATAGTGGTTAATTAGTGTGGTGTAGTAGTCTATAGTGGTTAATTAGTGTGGTGTAGTAGTCTATAGTGGTTAATTAGCGTGGTGTAGTAGTCTATAGTGGTTAATTAGTGTGGTGTAGTAGTCTATAGTAGTTAATTAGTGTAGTTTAGTAGTCTATAGTGGTTAATTAGTGTTGTATAGTAGTCTATAGTGGTTAATTAGTATGGTTTAGTAGTGTATAGTGGTTAATTATTGTGGTGTAGTAGTCTATAGTGGTTAATTAGTGTAGTTTAGTAGTCTATAGTGGTTAATTAGTGTGGTCTAGTAGTCTATAGTGGTTAATTAGTGTGGTGTAGTAGTCTATAGTGGTTAATTAGTGTGGTGTAGTAGTCTATAGTGGTTAATTAGTGTGGTGTAGTAGTCTATAGTGGTTAATTAGTGTGGTTTATTAGTCTATAGTGGTTAATTAGTGTGGTGTAGTAGTCTAGAGTGGTTAATTAGTGTGGTGTAGTAGTCTATAGTGGTTAATTAGTGTGGTTTAGTAGTCTATAGTGGTTAATTAGTGTAGTTTAGTAGTCTATATGGTTAATTAGTGTGGTGTAGTAGTCTATAGTGGTTAATTAGTGTGGTGTAGTAGTCTATTGTGGTTAATTAGTGTAGTTTAGTAGACTATAGTGGTTAATTAGTGTGGTGTAGTAGTCTATAGTGGTTAATTAGTGTGGTGTAGTAGTCTATAGTGGTTAATTAGTGTAGTTTAGTAGTCTATAGTGGTTAATTAGTGTAGTTTAGTAGTCTATAGTGGTTAATTAGTGTGGTTTAGTAGTCTATAGTGGTTAATTAGTGTGGTTTAGTAGTCTATAGTGGTTAATTAGTGTGGTTTAGTAGTCTATAGTGGTTAATTAGTGTGGTTTAGTAGTCTATAGTGGTTATTAGTGTGGTGTAGTAGTCTATAGTGGTTAATTAGTGTGGTGTAGTAGTCTATAGTGGTTAATTAGTGTGGTGTAGTAGTCTATAGTGGTTAATTAGTGTGGTGTAGTAGTCTATAGTGGTTTAATTAGTGTGGTGTAGTAGTCTATAGTGGTTAATTAGTGTGGTGTAGTCTATAGTGGTTAATTAGCGTGGTTTATTGGTCTATAGTGGTTAATAAGTGTGGTGTAGTAGTCTATAGTGGTTAATTAGTGTGGTTTATTGGTCTAGAGTGGTTAATTAGTGTGGTGTAGTAGTCTATAGTGGTTAATTAGTGTGGTGTAGTAGTCTATAGTGGTTAATTAGTACGGTTTAGTAGTCTATAGTGGTGAATTAGTACGGTTTAGTAGTCTATAATGGTTAATTAGCGTGGTTTAGTAGTCTATAGTGGTTAATTAGTGTAGTTTAGTAGTCTATAGTGGTTAATTAGTGTGGTGTAGTAGTCTATAGTGGTTAATTAGTGTGGTTTAGTAGTCTATAGTGGTTAATTAGCGTGGTGTAGTCTATAGTGGTTAATTAGTGTAGTTTAGTAGTCTATAGTGGTTAATTAGTGTGGTGTAGTAGTCTATAGTGGTTAATTAGCGTGGTGTAGTCTATAGTGGTTAATTAGTGTAGTTTAGTAGACTATAGTGGTTAATTAGTGTGGTTTAGTAGTCTATAGTGGTTAATTAGTGTGGTGTAGTAGTCTATAGTAGTTAATTAGTGTAGTTTAGTAGTCTATAGTGGTTAATTAGTGTGGTGTAGTAGTTTATAGTGGTTAATTAGCGTGGTTTAGTAGTCTATAGTGGTTAATTAGTGTGGTTTAGTAGTCTATAGTGGTTAATTAGCGTGGTGTAGTCTATAGTGGTTAATTAGTGTAGTTTAGTAGTCTATAGTGGTTAATTAGTGTGGTGTAGTAGTCTATAGTGGTTAATTAGCGTGGTGTAGTCTATAGTGGTTAATTAGTGTAGTTTAGTAGACTATAGTGGTTAATTAGTGTGGTTTAGTAGTCTATAGTGGTTAATTAGTGTGGTGTAGTAGTCTATAGTAGTTAATTAGTGTAGTTTAGTAGTCTATAGTGGTTAATTAGTGTGGTGTAGTAGTTTATAGTGGTTAATTAGCGTGGTTTAGTAGTCTATAGTGGTTAATTAGTGTGGTGTAGTAGTCTATAGTGGTTAATTAGTGTGGTGTAGTAGTCTATAGTGGTTAATTAGCGTGGTGTAGTAGTCTATAGTGGTTAATTAGTGTGGTGTAGTAGTCTATAGTAGTTAATTAGTGTAGTTTAGTAGTCTATAG